TCCCTTGGGTCCAGAGTGAATTTTGCTGCAAACGTTGATCGTTATCACTTCCTCCCAGCACTGCTGCACAGAAGGAGAATAGTCAGCACCTCCATGTAAGTGACCCACAAAGGAGTTGGTTAGTTGGTTAGGGTTTGGTCGTTATATCTCCCCAGGGTCCAGCTGGGCCCTTACTGGCTGTACCCTGTAAAGGTGACCCTGATAGTTGCTCACCACAACCAGCTCACCCATCCAAACAGCCCCATAAAAAGCCAAGGAAAATTTGACCTGACAAAATAAAACCCTTAAATGACGAGGAACAAACCGCAGGCAAAGACTCACACAAACCAGAATCAAGCATACAATATGCAATTTAAACAACTCAAAAAACTCTCACTGAGGTATATCCCCCAAACAAAATACACCACTGCAAGCAAATACAAACAACTCTTAAAAAAGGTGTAAAGACCTACCATATAGTGACACTAATGCCACCCAATTTAGGAATTATGTATACTTACTTATATATGTAAGATGTCTGGAGATGTGGGATGGGTTTGTTGCCGGCCTATATCTACTCCCTCCGTCCAACTTCCTCCTGACGTTCTGCCTACGTTTTTGGAAACATGTCACTTCTGGTCACTCACCTGTGTCATTCTGCTGGCACTGCTGCTGCACAAAAGTCGTTACACTCCAGACAACCCTCTCACCTCAGACGCTCACTAAGGTTCCCTCAAACCATTAAGTCCTTAATCTTCCAAGCATCCTGCCACCGATCCTGTTACACTGACAGACTCTATTCCTGCCAACCTCAGACCTACGCATATATAATATATTAAATTGCAAATGTTATTAACTGCACTCACTGGCTTTGTAGTTGTATATTACACAGTAACTGCAAAGTAGTCCACAAGTAATCCAAAGTATTCATCCACAAAGCGCAGTCCACTAGTGCAGACCAAATTTATTCAAAGAGCATTCAAACTACAGACGTTTCGGGACCTTGTCCCTTTATTAATGATAATTGCCCTTAACCGGGCATGAGTATGTGTAAAAACATTTGCAATTTTATCTATTAAAGGGCCATTATCAAGCACTTGGCACAAATATTTACTCAAGTCAGAGTGCAAAGCATATCAGTTTTTGGATATTTATATACATATATGCATGCATGTTCCATGAGTCACCCTGTCTTCACAAGAAGTTGGAGTGAAGGTAAGTACCCTCTGAGACTTTTGCAAGCTCTGTAAGGATTATCAATATGTAGCTGTTGGTTATTCTGCTTGCTTGAGCTTGAGCTGTTGGATTGGAAAGATCGCCCATGTGTAGTAATTAAGGGCTAATCACAGTTATCTCTACAGATTGAAATGACAGTCTGTGGGCTGTAAGATTTAGGCTGCAGGATAAGGAACCTGCGAAGTAGCCAAAATTCAATACAAACTGTGGAGCACACTGGGTCAACATGGAAAAAATCCAAAACTACATTTAAAAGTGTTTTTGCCTTAAACAACTCAGGCAAAATGCACTGGGGATATTGGTTGTGATAGTTCTTGAGAGTTGAAATTTACTTTGTAACTTTAACACTTTGTGTGCTCGAAATAAGGTGGACATTTCACGAGTCATATTTTTTTTTAATCAATTTGCAGATCATCCATATGGCCAAAAAATAATGCACCATTTAGGTAAAATGTGTCATAACTGAGATTGGATAGTTGTGCAGAGGATAAATTATTGTAATTTACCACCCCTCCTTTTCTTGCCATCCAGTCAGCCTTGTCCACCTCTTCTCTCTACTGCATCTGCCATATTTAACCCCTTAAGGACACAACTTCAGAAATAAAAGGGAATCATGAGAAGAATGTGGCATCAGATTTGGGCTAGAAAAGGCCTTTAAAGTCCATTGAGCCAGCCTGCAATGTCACTGGAAGAAGGGCCAGGAGATTACGGCCTTCTTCACGGATGAGGCCCAGCCTTATTTGAGCTACCAGGAGTGCACATTCCAGCGTATGGTGTGGATGCCTGGCCCCTCTCCTCTTCTGCCAGGCAGCAGATGGAAGCGCCACCTGGCCTCGAACAAGATGACAGCTGCACCACCTCTGATGGTGCTCCGCATCACACAGGTGTGATGAAGGGAACTACTACGAGGAACAACCTGGTCTCTGGAGTGGATGGAAGGCTCAGGAGGTCTGAGGGTTCAGCAGTAAGGCATTCTGATGGTGCCAGAAAGACTTTATCCAGGCTGTCTCAATGTGATACAAGTGAGCCTTGCTGGTGGTTAGCAAATCAGTGATATCAGGTCTAGGACTCCACTTCAGTCTTCTTCACTTGGATGGTGAAACTACCAGCTAATGAGAGGTCCATGTCCCCTGTGCATGGTGTGGGTACTCAGGATGATAGCAGAGAGAAATGTAATCCAGGTCTTCGCTCCAGCATCCAGCTGAGTGTGTTGCATTGTTCCTTAGGATCAAGGGGTGTTGCATCCTGAGGGTGTTGTACTTCTGTGTTTGCAGTGCTTGCTGGCTGCGCCCCCTAAAGTCAACTGTTCCAACGCCTGCAGTTAGTGTCCCAGCACCTGCTCTTCCCTTATTTTTAGTTTGGCACTTGATTTGCGCAAATGGCAAGCACATTTTAAAGAAGAAGTTTATTGATGTAATTCCTGGTTGCTTTGGAAGGAAGACCATGGATAGGCCATGAGAGGGATGGCTCAAAGGGTGATAGATATAAGCAGCTCCCCCATACTTTTGGGAATTGGCTACAGAGATTTCTCATTTTTGCAGCCCACACTCAGTGTATCCCCGTTCGCCTTTGATCTTATTTGCGTTTCACCTTCCTTGCTGCGATAATACCACTTGGTAGGATCAGCTCCATATACACCTCTCTGCCTGATTCTAGGCTAGGGCCTAGTTCTCAGTTGGGATTGATAGAATATGCGTACGTGGTATCATCGCAGAGAGAAAAGCAAAACGAGGGTCTGCTGTGCTGAGCACATGTGTTGGTGTAAAAACCTTTAAAAGGTTCATCTGAATCTTGTGTAAGCATTTTTAATCGTGTGTGTTTTTATGTTATGGAATAAACAGTATTACACTATGCTAATTTTTCATATAAGATGCTCTAAAAGAACAATCTACTTAATTGCAAACGGTCCACAAGATAAGTTTGTATAATTTTTTGATATGCAGGAATGTTTATTTTGCATGCATTTATAATTATTAGTACTTTATTCACATTGTCAAACTATATTAAATATATATGTATTAAGACCGGTTGGCCTGTAATTGTGGGAGGGGCTTATATGTTACTTACCTATTTAAGGGAACCTCTTACCGTCTGAGGTCTAACGAATTGCATGACCATCCTTCCACTCTCACTACTCAACATTTCCATCTTTCTCTTTCTTTTCCTTTTCTTTTACTCCTTGGTGGGCCCTCTTTTATTTACAGGCCTACTGCATCGTCGCTTCCGGCACTACAACCAACTTGCTCTTTTATACTATTCTACTCTTATACTTAGCCCTTACTCCTTATACGGCTTTGTGCCCCTAACACAAATATACAGTTGCAAGAAAAAGTATGTGAACCCTTTGGAATGATATGGATTTCTACACAAATTGGTCATAAAATGTGATCTGATCATCATCTAAGTCACAACAATAGACAATCACAGTCTGCTTAAACTAATAACACACAAAGAATGAAATGTTGCCATGTTTTTATTGAACAAACCATGTAAACATTCACAGTGCAGGTGGAAAAAATATGTAAACCCCTAGACTAATGACATCTCCAAGAGCTAATTTGAGTGAGATGTCAGCCAACTGGAGTCCAATCAGTGAGATGAGATTGGAGGTGTTGGTTACAGCTGCCCTGCCCTATAAAAAACACACACCTGTTCTGTGTTTGCTTTTCACAAGAAGCATTGCCTGATGTGAATGATGCCTCGCACAAAAGAGCTCTCAGAAGACCTACGATTAAGAATTGTTGACTTGCATAAAGCTCGAAAGGGTTATAAAAGTATCTCCAGAAGCCTTGCTGTTCATCAGTCCATGGTAAGACAAATTGTCTATAAATGGAGAAAGTTCAGCACTGCTGCTACTCTCCCTAGGAGTGGCCGTTCTGTAAAGAAGACTGCTCAATGAGGTGAAGAGGAATACTAGAGTGTCATCTAAAGACTTACAAAAGTCACTGGCAAATGCTAACATCCCTGTTAGCGAATCTACAATACGTAAAACACTAAACAAGAATGGGTTTCATGGGAGGATTCTGCAGGAACTGGCTTAATGACCAACAGGCTATGGGAAGAGAGGGGTTAACTACAAAAACTGGAAATCCTAGTGTTATGGTATGTGCAGGCGGGAGTATCTGCAGTATAGTAACTAGGAGGTGCAGACTGCAAAGATGTTGCCTGGTATATTCTGCAGTAAAACTACAAAAACACTGGAAATCCTAGTGTTATGGTATGTGCAGGCGGGAGTACCTGCAGTATAGTAACTAGGAGGTACAAACTGCAAAGATATTGCCTGGTATATTCTGCAGTAACTGGCTAAATAACCAACAAGCTATGGGTAGAGAGGGGTTTAACTACAAAAACACTAGGAATCCTCCTATGCTTGTGGTCCCTAAGTACTTGTGCCTTTGAGGGCACCCCCTTAGCCAAAAGCCTACAATCTCCTATAGAAATACAACATTTCCCACCAATACTGCTACAATGAAAGAAGTGTGCTGGAAATGCCTAGACTTTGTAGGCTGCTTCACGTGCTGCTGGGTAACGGCCGAGCCGATGCCGATAGAAAGCTCTAATTGGTATGGTAAGTAAAGAGGTCACTCTTAGTGCAGTGACAGGTCACTCTTAGTAAAGTGACTGGTGGATAGAGTACTATCTTCCTTCCCCTTGTTTTTTGTATATTTATATTTGTGTACGGGATCAACTGTTGAGGCATACAATAAGGATTGAGTTATACCAGTAGTAGCAAGTCGATTGTGGTGTGCCGAAACCGACGAGCAGGGTAGGCCTGAAAAAGAGGGCTCACCTACTGAAAGAGTATTAAAAAAGGAGAGGTGGGTGGGTTTCCAAAAGCAGAGGCAGAACGTCAGGAGGAAGCTGGGCAGAGGAAGTAGAAATAGGCTGGCAACAAACCCTCCCACAAGTCCAGGCATCCTGGAGTGGGATTAACTGCTGAGGAATACAATAAGGATTGAGGTATACCAGTAGTAGCAAATTGGTTGCAGTGTGCCAAAACCGAGAAAGGGGTAGGCCTGAAAAAGAGGGAAATAATATTAAAACTACCTAAACTCACAACTACATAATATCAAAGCTCTGAAGATTATTAGTGCAACTGTACGTACCCCCAAACCTTCCAGGTTGTTATGAAGAAAGCATCGAGAAATTGAACATGTCAGTAATGATACATTAGTAAAATTATACCCTAACCCAGAGCTAAACTATAAGATATGGAGCTATGTTAGCTATGAGACACATTAACTGTTGGCTGTGAGCAGTGCTCCGTGCTAGTTGCTAAAAGGAAATAATGACTTTCCCAAGGCTCATGTTCCGAATTTGGACCTGAAACTGATGATCAGAAAGCTTATAGACCTCTAAAATCCCTTATTCTTTGACGCCATTCCTAGTATTGTAGCAGCACTTATAACCATACCTGAAAGAGAAAGAAAATGTATAGGCTGACCTATGTTATGCCAAGTGATGAAACAATCAAGCTAAATTGGTGACTTGGGAACCTAACTAGTTGCCAAGTTACGATGAGAGACTCTACCTATGATTTGGTCGGTTGGGTAGGTTTGTCACCGAGCATTGTGGAGGGGTGCTGGCCTCTCAATGACACTTAAAGAGATTTAAAAATACGTGGCAGTTGATGCCCTAACTGCTAAGAGGGTGGGAATGCAAGGCAATTACTATGATTTGGTCCGAGGGGCGAATTACCCCCATTGTTGAGGACGGGAGTTGGCCTCGGGGACAGCTATGTAATGGCACAAGAATCCGGAAATCTACCTATGGAACGCTAACAGCCAGACCAAATTAAAGATAATGTCCTTGTAGAACAAGTGGTTGTTGTAAGGAGGGAGGGAGTATCGTAAAGCGAGACAATTGTGTAGTGACTTGAAAAAACATAAATACGTAATGATGAAAATGACTAAATTGACATATATTGCAGGATTAATGAATGGAAGAGCATAAGTAGCTGATAGTAAAAACAAGTGAATAGAAGTGGAGGGCCAAAAAGTGTACAGTGGTTCAATAATCTAAGCATGAACCAAAAGTGATAGCAGAGAGTGTAGTGTTCATAATACAGAATGAAGTTTCTCTAACTCTGTAAAAAGCAGCAGAGTGATTGCTGGTAGGGTAGATAAAGTAAGAACAACGATCCCAGCACACAAATATTTCTCTACCAAACAACCAAAGTATAAAAGGCACAGATAATCAAAGGCCGGTATGAAGCATACATTGTGAAATTTGACGTATAGATTTGCCAGAGACCTGTATTGATACATAAACCTACACATCCACATATTGTGCGGTGTTGGATTATCGTACTAACTATAGTTTATATTCTCAAAACTGAACAAGAAAATCATGCACTTAATTAATTACAGTTATGGTTAAATATAAAATACATATGTATTAACGACAAAAGGTTGAACTTAAAAACGTAGATAAAATGGCTTAATGGCCAAAATGTGGGCCAAATAATGAACAAGGTTATTTGGAAAAGTATGAACACTTATATTCTATAAATTACGTGAGCGAGAGTTAAATATGAATACATAACAAAAATAAAAACTGTGAGGATTAATGTCAAGTATCTAATACATTTATAGCAGTGAATAGCAAAGAATGTTATGTAGTGGGCACGATGCTTACCAGCAGAAAAGGTTGTACAAGGTCGGATGTAGTGGTTGGACACAATATATATAACTACCTAACTATAAACTGAGAATTGTAATGGCAAGAACATAATATTAATTATATGGTCGAGGAAGAGCTGAATGAAGAAATGGAAATATAAGTGAGACCTAAAAAACGTGGCCTAATGTCTACCAAAGAAAGACTGGACTGGTGAAATAAAAACACCATGCATTTAACATAACTCTTCTAATTAATATAGTAATATTACTTGGAACTTACATTATGTGTTGAAATGTGTGGGATGCTGTGAACACAAACTAAGTATTTTCTCTTAAGACTATTGAAACTTAATTTTTAGGAAAATATATCCAAATTTAACTATTGTTTAACATAACTATTATAGCGTAACAATTGCTTTGCAAGTCTAGTTGTTCACTTAAATAATCGAGTATACAGAGATTAACAGTGCATGGAGTGCTTGTATGTTACAGCAGATGCCACAGAGTTGTCTACAGTACAGGTAGTTCACGACTTTACAAACTAATTGGTTCCGAAGCTTGGTTCATAAAGTGAGAGTTCATAAATTGTGAACTAATTTCCCCTAAACACAATGTAATAAACATGGGTTCCGTTCCTGATCAACAAATTTTACCATTGAAAACCTAAATTATAAAGTACAAATACAAAATGAAAGCATAGCAAATACATATATGTTGTAGGAACATTAAAGTAATACATCCTTATTGAAATCATTTTATACCATGCTGGGGGCTGTGTATAAAAGCAGGTAACATGGCCATAATAAATAAGTTCTTTTACACCCTTCACTCAGTCTAGGCTAGTGTTTGGGTGGATCAGCTATACTCTCTGCAGGAGAGCTTCATCACTTAAAAAAACTGTACCCAGGACCCTGTTCCAGGGCGGTTGGGGCTCAAGCACTCCTGTGTCCCAGAGGAGAGCTATGACAGAGGTGCCCAGTCGGTGTGGCAGGCGGTCCATCACACCTTCCCAGGTGGTTACTATAGTACAGAAAAAAGTGCTCAGTGTAAATAGGCGCTTAGTAGAAATGCAAATTAAAAACAGCAGCTCAACACACGTGCAGGTATCCCAATCCTACACAAACAGATATGTGAAAAAAAGAGTGTGAACTTCGTAGATGATGGTTACTATAGTAGCAAGATATGTGAATGAAGAAAATAGGCATGCAGCTGTATAATCTAGAAGAGATACATCAACAAAACATAGTGTGATATTATCATACAAAAATGGAATGACACGCATGTTATAAGTTGCACTCACGAGATATAAGCTTTAAGATCATCTTAAAGGTGGCTCCGCTGAGGGTGATGTCGACCTCCTCGCTGTCACTGACGCTTTCAATTCAGGAACTGAGAGAAGTCAGGAATCCAGGTAGGGTAAAAAAAAATATTTTTATTGTGCCAAAAAACAAGTGGTTTTTAATTTTATATTTTAAATATGTATCATAGAGCCCAGGTCCTATGCATTTCGTTCATATATGAACTTCATCAGGGACCTCAAATGATATAAAACAAATAGAGTAAAATCTCAGTATATAGAATATAGTAAAAAAACTGAGGTTTTTACTATATACTGAGATTTTACTGTATTTGTTTTATATAATTTGACTTCCCTGATAAAGTTCATGTATGCACAAAACGCTTAGTACCTGGGTTCTATTATGCTACACTATATATATATATATATATATATATCCCAGGTACTAAGTGTTTCATGCATATATATATCTGCCTATGCAACTGCCGGCGGGGGGAGCTGTCAGACAGTCCCGTCAATGGTAAAACAAGATTAAAAAAAATATTATAGAAGCAATCAGGGGGAATTTTTTTTTTTTTTTTTAAAGTGATTCTTTTATTCTGGTTACATACAAAATAAGTCTGTCCCGATCTACGTTTCAACCCTTACAGGGAAAAAAACCCTATACGGGTCGAAGCGTCGATCAGGACTTCGATTGGAACAGATATGGCGGTCCCAATATGGCGTTAAATTTTTTACATTATGGGTATCCTGAACTGGTTAAACATAAGAATTTCGCATTTAAGAAGGGAAGAATATCCATCTTGACCCACCAGGATGCCCTGATTCTGTTTGTACAAGTGGCAAGATTGTATGGGATCTAATTCTTCCCTTGTTAAATAAGGGATACAACTATATATATATAAAATGATTTTAATTTTTTTTATTGCTTTGAAACCCTAGCCTGGGGTACAGAGTTTCCCTCAAACCCTGACAAGAGGCAGAAGCAGTAGAGGTTCAGAGCTCCGCCAAGATGAGATGCTTGCTATTTGCTTTACAGATAGGAAGAATGTATACATGCTGTCTACAATGCACAATGAAAGTACAGTGCCAGTGTCTGTGAGAGATAGCACTAAGCATCTGGAAAAGCCAAAGTGCACTGTAGTCTACAGCAAGTATATTGGGGGGAGTAGACATGGCTGACCAATGCATACAGTCCTATCTGGTGAACCGAAAAACAAGGACCTGGTACAAGAAAATTGCAATCTATGTGCGCCAGATTGCAATTATCAATGCCTATGTCCTCTATAAAAAAATATGTCATATGTAAGCCCTGCCCTTTCCTTGATTTCATGTTAAGCCTTTTATCCCATATATTATTTATCCAGCCCCCCAAT